TCTAAATCGAAGGAGAAATTTCACGATGCCGCGGGTATTTTTCGGTGCCCGCGATTTCACCGTTAAAGGAAAAACCAGCGTATGCACCGACAAATAAAAGTGCCATAGCCTAACAAGCTTGTTTCCGTTCCGCGTTGTTCACGGCGGCTAATTATCGCGCACATCTTTTTGCACGCTCCGATAGCCGTGAGAACGTGAATACAAAAGTGTCCGGCCGGTGCCTGGCGTTTCAGTATATGGACGGCCGTTCGGTCGTACACGCGGAATTGCATAGTTGTAATTGGCAACAGCGTTTAACAATTCATGCGTGATTGAATTTGATAGTGGCACACCGTGAATTTTAATTGCTCGGACTGCGGTTTGGTTTAGATGACTCGGGACAAGCGATTCGCACGCGAGAGAGTTTGTATTTACGGGGAATTTTATACTTTAAATTATTGTCGAATTATTATTAGTTCATTCGAATTGTATGGTTGTAATTATATTATAGATGAAATTGCGAGTGAATTGCAATTGTATTGGTGAATTATAACGAGGCGCGGACAGTTTATTTTAAATGATTTCGGACAAGTGATTCGAACGCAAGAGTTTATAAATATTGGCAATTCTATACTTTCAATTATAATTTTGTATTAATAAGAACGGAATAGAATAACTAAAAAAATACTTAGTTTTCAATATAATGACAAAAATTAAAATTCGATAGAAAATGGTCCCACCGAACAAATATTCTAAACAGCACAACACTGTAGATGTTTCATACTGCATTCTATGGAATCTTGCGCTACCAAATTTCCCATAAACGCGCAAAGACTCGCAGTCCACTAATTAAAATCTTCCGAGGTAGCATTATTCGCAAACCGATGAAAAAAACCGCTCCGAAAAACGCGAAACAATTGACAGAAAGGGAAAAATAATGAATTACCGATCGATATCGGTTCACCGTGGAACAGGAAGAAGCGAAAACGTTCTATCCACTTGTACGACCACTGGAAACAATCGAAACTCGTTCTCGGAAGTCTTTTAAGCATCGGCGATCGGTCGGAAGGTCAGAGGTGAGGCGGCGAGCGTGCCTCGAAAATAGAACGTACCCGCGGCGGATAGCCAGTTGAACCGTTTCTATTTCAATTATCGGCGGCGGGTTCCGGCCTCGGCAATTTGCTGGCGTTAATCGTCGTCGGATCGCCCCGGCACGAATTTATAATTCGTACAGTCGTCGCCATGATATAGCGAGTTTCCATAAATCATGTGCCAATTATTTAAATAACTATATATTAGGTAGCGGAGAATGTTCGTGCCGTTTTCTTGTTAGCAATGAATTAACGTCTGATTTCAATTGGTATTTCAGTATTTGATTGAACGATTGATTCTTTCGTAACGAAGGCAAAGGGCATTGGAAATGGTAATTAACAGTTTGATATCATAGTTCTTGGGTCGTATTATTATTTAGTTATTTATGTTATTGAATATTTTGTCCTGATTATATTCTAATTATCAGCGTTTAAATCTCCAATTTCTAAGATCCAAACGAAGGAACATGATTTTGTCTAAGAACAATAGAATAAAGTATGCAATAAATGTTTGGAAACCTGTTGTTAACACTAGAGCTACCGTACTAGTTAAAATGAGTGGTTTCAATTTCTTTATTTCGCAATGATTGATACCTTAACAGTATTGAATATTTGAAATGATTTCAAAAATAAATAGTTTCACTTAAATACTACAATGAATATCCGAAGAAACTGAAAATAATCTATTGTTACAATTTTTATATCCATTATACATCAATCGTATTAAATGGTCCTTAGTTCTAGCGTTAAAATTATTTTTCATCGATCTACGAGATACTAATTCATAATTTTATCAATTCGTTTATCCTTTTAACCTTTTGTTCTATCATCCTATGATACTGGTAGTGATGATTTCAAACAAAACTGATAAATATTACTACATTTTTTAAAGTTCAAATAAATGTTATTCCTCCGTTACCAGTCGTTATATTTCATAGCAAACATATACATAGAATGGGCTTACAATGTTCTCATTTTTACAGTAAATTATTGATGACAAACTGGTTGTTTCGATGAGAACGAAATGGTGGTTGAGAAAGAAATCATAGGGCAAAGGGTTAATCCTAAAAAATTCACTCGAACCGTTAGTATGTCATGCTAAAAACAACAATACAAATTTTTTATATAAACTCGATGTCACGCTAGAGCCGACAACACTAATTTACTCTAAAACACGTACGTCTCGCTGTAAATTATTCGAGAAGGTACCACACTTCAAAAGATCACAAAAATAAAATCTCATTATAGTAATAATAAATAAGATAAACATAAAACGTTGAATTCAATTTCTACAAATTACATTCATTAATTTCCCTAAAACGAAATACAAGTATACACCCAACAACATTGAAAATAAATCGACTGCAAAGGGTTAAACTCCTATCGATTTTAGGATCCCGCCACGTCTTGGCTACGACTGTAACGTCGTTCGCGGGGAGACGAAGTGAAACGTCCATCGGATCTAGATCGGAACTTTCCAGCGGCGCGCTCGTTCCTGGAATGTTGATTAACGTGTTAATTAACTGCCGGTGAAAAATCGACGGGCAAGATCCGGGGAGGGGGGCAGACGGCGACATTTTCGCGTCACCTGTGGGAAAAACCCGCGTATATAGATCGGGCAGGAATGGTCCCCACCACCGGAACAGGTGGATGGAACTTTGACCCCGAAAGTGAAATCGGACTTCTTCCTCTTTTAGCGGGCGGGCAGGGGGAAAACTGGCTCAACGCTCGGCACGGCCGCTTACGTAAGCCGGTAAACACGGGGAAAATTTTTCTGCAATTATCGGCCATTTTTTTCGTGGACTTTCTAAAGCGGCTAGGCCTTCGCTGGCGCGAGCCGCGATGAGCACGGTAATTGAGCAATTTCGTACGGGGCCCGGGCGAAACTAAGAAAGTCTCCAGACGG